TTGTCCGATGATAATAGCTCCCTGCAATGAGCTATCTCACTATCAACTATCTGAATCTTCCAATCCAAGTCCCTTTCTTTTCCATCTATAGGTATTCTCAATTGATGGGATGCGTTAAATAATACTGACTGGGGAGAAACAGTTTCATTTCTACAGAACTTTTCCTCCGTTAGAAAAATCCTCTCTTCATTTTCTATTGGTATATGTTCTGAATTCTTAGGGGGTACGTGTACGGTAAAGGTTAGTTCAGTAGAACCACTCATGTAAACAGAGCCGTTCAAACAAACTATTCCTTGGGAACTGAAAAGGGTTACTTTTACATTATAAAACTCTAAACATTGGACATCTTCTGGAAATCTGACATAAGTTAACCAGGCTTGTGCATACCCAATACCATTTCCTGAGAGTGGTCTCCAAGAAATATCTGTATTCAAATTACCTTCACATTCAACCTTGACTGTTGATGAACTTATATTTTTAACTGCTTCACTAAAGTAGAGAACGAGGGGAAGTGTTCTAGGACTAGACAAAATGTAATTATTATCAAGCAACCCATCCGTTGACAAATGAAGACTAGAGTCATGAGGTGGCCATGAAGAAACCAACAAATTTGTTTTTTTAACTGTCTGGCCAAGAAGCCAGAGATGGTAAAACCAACCACTTTGATCATCTGGATCTGTAAAAAGAGCATTATGAACAAACTCAAACTCTTCTGTCAATACACTCTCCTTGGGAAAAAATCCTTCTGCCTTCTCCTTCAGCAGCCGACTAAGTAGAACACTGTACAAAAGTCATTTAAAAAATAAATTAGGGAAGGATTACTGTTTAGTGTGTCATAAATACAATACTAGTATATTGGAAAACCCTCCTGGTGAATAATTTTCTAAAAACATCTGCAGTCGAACTTCTGTGTATATGCATCGTGTGTGTGTTAATTAGGCCCCTCTCTTCTCAATCAGACAGTCAAGGATCATTGCATTGTACATACTCCCTCCCTATTTTTTTGTTTGCTACAATAGGGGTTGGCACAATTTTTTAGAGTGAAATAGTAGGGGTAATGAATAATGTAGAAAAGGTAGGAGAGAAGGTGAAAAAGTATGAAAGAGAAGATAAAAAGTAGAAAAAGTAAGGGTAGTTGAGTATTTTTAAAGGAAAAACTTACCAAAAAGGGAAATTGTAGCAAATTTTTGAATACATCCAAAAAAGGAAAGTGTAGCAAACAAAAAAATACTGAGGGAGTATTTTGTATGACCACGAAAACTCTATATTTTACAATTTATTCCCTAAAGATGCATTGATGATTGTTAACCAAGCATTCATTAAAATCAATAGAATAATGTTGAGTTCAAACAAGGATGATTGTATTCAAAGATGACACATTATTATTAACCACAAACATTGGTAGATGTAATCACAGTATACCTACGGTTGTGCCAAGCAGAATAATTGCTAAAATCTTCTTTTATCATGTCTGTTGTATATTGTAGTTCATCCTTATCTGGAATTTTCTTCAATGATGTAATAAACCTGAAAGAGCATATCAAAGGGAAATATGATAACATGCTAAAGCCTCTCAATTATACCAATAAAAAGATATCCAGTAATATGACCTCCTATAATTCCAAGCATGGAAATTCCGAGAATCTGCCTTCTGGAACTTAGCCAAAAGCAATAATTCTCGGTCAGTGGAAGAATGACCTTTGCTTAGCACCCACTTACGGTGATACCATGCTCCATAAGACTTGTAATTGATCCGCAATGCATTCTCCACCTAATTAAATTTGTTCATGACTTTAATAAAAAATAAAGAAAAGGCATAAATTAGCATGTACGTAGTATCCCCCCCCCCCAAGCACCAGATTTGAAACAGAAATAGAACTTCCACGTGAACTTTCAAGCTTCAACTAACATACTCAGATAAACCAACCACAATGGTTAAAACCCTAGTGTTTTCAGTCAAACTATAGAATTCTACAAGTAGCTTTCTCTTTTGATCTCCCTATGCCCAAATTATAAATAAAAACAACAAAATCTACTCAATAAGTCAATAGTAAATATAAAGAAAAGCTGCAACTTTATACGATGATAAGCTTAAACATACTAGTCTGAGTTCTTCATCTAGAATAGTTTTGATAGACTCCGCATTGTTAACATTGTCAGATTGATGAAGACGGTCCTCTACAGCGAGCTTCCGGTAATTCCAGGCCGTGTAATGCTCTGGATTAACCTCAAGCAGTCTCGCGCTTACTTCAAGAGCTTCTTTATTATAACTGCAAAAAGTATACAATATAATTAGAGATTTAATGGAAAAGCCAGGGTCTCAAATTCATGAAATGGAAACTCGAAGTTACTCGGAGTATTGTAGCTTTCATTAAATTAGCAAAAGAAACAATTTCTTTCAGGATATACATTTTATTGTGATGATGGTGGATGAACTGAGCTTGGAGAGATCGAAGATTCGCTGATTTGACCGCAGAAGCTTGTAGCTCGTCTTGGCTTCGAGCTCTTCGTGGTATTCCATGCATTTTTCACACGAATTAGATCGGAGACCACAGATGAAGAAACCACAGAGGAAGAAGATGAAGAAAAAAAAAAGATTCAGGCGACTGAATCAGTGAATGTTTATGTTAGGCGGAATACAGTATTTCCGTGAATGGGAAAAAGTGGTAAACCAAAGTACCAAACATCATGAGTCTGCGGAAGTGCCTATCGCGAGTTGCGTGGGGAAGAGTTTTTTTTTCCGTCGAGCGTGGATAGACAGGGACGAAGAGAGGCAAAGCAAACATTGATCAGGTCAGAAACATTCAGATCAAATCAAATCAGAAAAGTTCAAACATGATTTATCAATTTTATTTATTTAATAATTATAATAATTATTATATAATAACAATTATTATTATATTATTATCAATAATATTATTTTATGATTATTATTATTATTATTATTACATTACTATTACTATTATTATTGTTAATGTTATTGTTATTACTATTATTATTATTTTTGTTGTTGTTGTTATTGTTATTATTATTACAATTATATTTATTATAGTTATTGATGTTGTTGTTTTTATTATTATTATTTTTGTTGTTTTTATTATTGTTAGTAGTGTTGTTATAGATCAGAAACATTCAGATCAAATCAAATTAGATCAGAAAAATTTAGATTAAATCAAATTATATCAGAAGCATTCAGATCATATAAAAAAGATTCATATCAGACGAGATCAGAAAACATTCAGATCAGATCAGGTCAGAAACATTCAAATCAAATCAAATCAGAAAAGTTCAAACATGATTTATCAATTTTATTTATTTAATAATTATAATAATTATTATATAATAACAATTATTATTATATTATTATCAATAATATTATTTTATGATTATTACTATTATTATTATTATTATTATTATTATTATTACATTACTATTACTATTATTATTGTTAATGTTATTGTTATTACTATTATTATTATTTTTGTTGTTGTTGTTATTGTTATTATTATTACAATTATATTTATTATAGTTATTGATGTTGTTGTTTTTATTATTATTCTTTTTGTTGTTTTTATTATTGTTATTGGTGTTGTTATAGATCAGAAAAATTCAGATCAAATCAGGTCAGATCAGAAAAATTCAGATCAGATCAGATCAGAAAATTCAGATCAGAAACATTCATATCTGGTGAAGAGAACAACTTCTAATAATCTTTACTTTTACCCTTTTTACAATATAATCTCTACATGAAAAATTAACACCAATACTTTTTACTAGTTAGTTGTTTCACAAAAATAATTTCAATGCTAACAGTGTTAATTTTTCCGTTTTTTTTTATAATTTTGAATATATCAAAGCAAAAATATGTATAAAAATTAATAATAATATATTTGAGTTTAATCATTTTTTATGATTAATTTAATTTAATATTTTTCATAAAATTTCATAGAAATATCCGTATTAAATGTTCACTATTCTACATAATTTGTATTAATATTTAATGTAGTATTACTAAAATTACTTTGCAATTTTATTATAATGAATAACAAAACTATAACAAATATAAATAAAATATGGATAAAGAATAAAAGAGAATATGAAGAGTATGCACTACTCCGTCTGTAAGTATGTAGTGCTTAAATATTTCTATTATGTTTCATAAAAAATATTGGATATTATATTATATTTTTGTTATAAACAAGAATAAACTCAAATATAATATTGCTAATATTTATATGTATTTTCACTTCAATATTTTAAAAGAAAATAACGTAAAACTTAAGACAGTTAACACTCGATTTAAAAAACTAGCGGAAAAGTTAACATCATTAGCATTCTGATTATTTTTGTAAAACAATTAACTAGTAGAGATTATTGGTGTAAACTTTTCAAGTATGAATTATAATTGTAAAATGTTTATAAGATGGATTATTGGTGTCAATTTCACCAAGTTTTTTTGTTTGTGAATCCCTCATAGCCACCGGGCCGGGCTCCGGGCCTAAACAGTACCGGGCCAGACCAAGCCTAAATAGTACCAGGACCGGGCCGGGTTGGGCCGACCCGTCCCAATCCATCCCTACTTCCACTCATAGAGCCCCCAAAATTGAGTGAATCCATTGAAATTGGGGAAATTCTAAGTGAAGTGGTTGAATATGTTGAAATTGGTAAAAATCTGAATAATGTGTTTGAATTAACTAAATCTGTTGAAATGTGAAAAGTTATATGGAGTATTTAAAATATATTTTTAATGCAACTAAGAAAAAGTTAAATGAAAAATAACTAAAATGATCATCTACAATAACTTCAGACAATTCAGTAAAAAAATAACTTCATAGTTCAAACTAACTTATTTTGATTATAGCACAACTCAACACTCAAAATTAATTGTTACTCCGTATGTGTTTGATAAAAATATTGGATGATATGGCTAATAAACTGAAAATAGATATTATCAAACAGGCTAATAGCATACCAACAAGCACCACGAAAAAAACTAACAAAAGAACGACATGATTTAAATCTTCTCCCAACCAGGAATGAACCCATTCTTGTTTGTGTCCCACATTCCAAAGAGAGTCCAGTCGGGATCACACTGTTTCCGATTCCCAAAAAAATGTTAACATATGTTCAGATAACTGGTAAAAATACGGAACTGGAATCTGTCAAGACTGGACCTACTTTGGGCGAACCTAAACCAGGTAAAACCGTAAAACCAGACACCAGCTCCGGTGCAATTGTGCAAACAAAAATGGACAACAGGCCCAATTCTTTATCCATCCAATCCCAGTCCGGTTCCGAGATTGGAACAAGGACCAGCCTTACCACTACCATTCTAGGGAGGGCTAGATACGGAGGTGATTCGGATTGAAGTGAAAATCTTTGTTCTTGAATGTTATGATCAGTAGATTCAGTAGCACTTTGCGAAACAAATGAAGGATGAAAGTTTTAGAGGGGATAAATTAGCATGCACCTAATGATCATCTAGTTTAGTAGTACAGGCTTGACCAATTTTAAAACTATCAAAATGATTATGATCAATCTTGATCATACATCCACAGAGAAGTGCTTGTCCCGCCATCATTTTGAGGTTCTCTCTCACACAGTGTAGGGCAGACCATGACTGGATTCACATGCTCGAGCCCCAAAATCGAACCTCCGCCTCCTAAATTTCCCGTTACTTGCAAAATGGTGGCACCTGACTCCGAACCCACCTTATTAGCAACAATATCATCACTGGTCTTTATGTTGGAAAGGATGTCGCTCTTGTCATTTCTTTTGTCGGATTTCCTCCTTTTGAACCGACCACCTCTACCACTTGCCTTCTTACGGCCCCTTTTCTTAGGCTTGAGAGAAGCAGCTGTCTCCTGGTGGCTTATTCCCATAGGATCTGTCACTTTTTTCTTAAGGGGGACAACAGTATATGTGGGGTGGTCAGTGGTGGGGACATTGTTGTTGTTGGACTTGGAAGAGTCCGACTCAATGGCCAATAGAGCGGTCCTTGCGGCTTTTAGCTCTGCTCCTTTTTTTGTGTTCGAGTGTCCCCCGATGTACTTGACTCCTCCAATGTCAACAGTACATGTATAGAAAGCATGATTGCCCATTCCTTTCACTGTTGTGCACTCATATAAAGGGACGGCATAATTCATCTTTTGTGCATATTCTTGTAAGAGGTTTTTGCACAAGCCTGTCTCATGCTGAATAATAGTACACCATCCAAAAATAATAATATAAGGTCAATCTGGGATTTGACGAAGTGGAAACCATAAATTGTAGTCTGGTTTATTTTAGCCTAGTTTACCGATTCACCCTTATTAACATGTACACCCTCTTCATTAATAAAACTTAGTAAAATGGCTAAGTTTGTTACTTCAAGATAAAATTAGTTATCACCTTAAAAACCACATCTTTTTCTCAAAAAGGTGATTTGAGAACACAGGGAGTATATAGTAATAAATGATTACATTTAAAATTACCTTAGTAGTGACCATGGACAAGCACATTAATTAGTAAATGAAATAACATGTCAATCACTTAATTTATGTGATATTACGTATATAGTAGCTTTTTGTTCTACTTGCACCAATGAGTTAATCATTTTAACAATTTGAAGCTTCATAACCACCATGGACATGCCAACAAGTACTACCCTAGTTGTACCCAAGCAGCACAAAAACTCAGTTATACAGTTATACTTCTTTATAACTTTGAAGATTTATAGCCAAGATGGAGGTGAGTTTCTTAACAAAATCCTAGAACAATTTACTATATAATTGACATCTACTTTGAGATATGGAAGGTTTGTCAAGAATGAACAAGAGAAGCAACAAAAAATGGAATTTCAAAGTTATTTAGCCTATCATCATCAAAGAAAGATAGAAATATACACTTACAACAGGCTGTGAAATGCACTCTTTCATATCACCAACCCGAGATAGCTCCAGGAGAGCAACTTCAGCAGCCGACTGCTCTGCTGCCTTGCGATTATAGAATCCGGGCAGAGAATCATATCTTTTGTCGTTCACCACCACGGTAGACCGAAAAGTGGGTTCATGAGGAAGTCCTTCCTTGATCGTCTCATAGACAGGAGTTGGAAGTCCAACTTTCTGGGCATACTCTTGCAGTCGACTTTTAAATACATAACAGTTCGATACGCCTATAAAAAAACCAAAACAAGAAAAAACATATACCTATAGTTCATAAATTGTACTCTTAGACAGAAAAAAAGAAATTGTTGCAAGCAGCTCCTTGTGGAACCAATGATTCAATACCAAAAGGGTTAATATCATGCATCCAAGTGTGGAAGCGCCTTCTCATTCACAAACAAAAAGGGTGGAATAATTTATATTAGGGTGGTATAAACTATATGGTGTTAAATATCTAGTCAATTAGTCATCATCTATATTAATAAAAAATGATAACAATATATGGGGCCGTTTCCTAACTGGTAAATTCTCCGTTTTTCTGGAAAACAGGAAATGGTAAACTGGAAAACGTGCTTACTCTGAATAAATTACCCTAAATAGGAGTAGAAGATGTCTTAAATAACTAAATAGGACTAGTTAAGCTTTCTTCCCAAAATAGGAGTCACACAATCTTAATAAAAGAAGTCTTTTTTCAGTTCCATTTTACCCTTAAACATATTATTGCATAGCAACCCAATCAGATTCATCCCCTCTATCTCACGACAATGGCCAACACGCCACGTCGCCAACACGTATCCAACTGTTGATCTGCTGAACAGAGCCGCCATATCAGTTCACACTTATTAATTTGAGTGATGCTTTGCAGTATATGTTGGTGTTTATCAGATTTGATGAAGAGTTAAGGTTTTACGCCATTAAAGCTGCTTCGACCCGATCAAAGCTAATTTCGATTTTCAATTTTTGAACTTTGAGGTGCCAAACCAATTTGATTCATTAGTTAGGATCCAAAAATATTCATCTAAGATTTTCTCTCTTAAGTTGGAGGCATTTGGTAAGATTTGTTACTCTTCAAACTTATGATTTGCAAAGTTTGTGGATTTGCTTCCATTAATCACTACATAGAGGTATTTGAAATCCTCATTTACATTCTAGGAGAGAATCAAAGAGGAATTTGAACTGATATATGTTAAATGCACAGAATGAGAGTTTTCATTGTGTTTTTAAGTTGTTTTCATGCACAGGATGAAAATTTGCATCGTGCTTTGCTTCAGTTGTTTTTATTAATGGATGTTAATTGGTTTGACTTCACCACTATATTTTGTCAATGCATACGGTGTGGTAAAATATTTGTTGGTAGATGTTAGCTATTTTGGCAGTTGTCAAAAACTTGCATATTCATTTTCATGATAAAATTCACACATATTTTCATAAAACTTTATGCTACTACCATGTTTGCATATGGCAGATCAAGATAGTTGTACTAAGACTGTAAGAGTAATAAAATAACGTGCAGCAGATGACGACTATAAAAGGATGGCAGCATGTAAAAGCAAGATGGCAATAACGAGTCAGATACGGTGGACAAGCAAGAGCACTGAAGATGGCAATAAAAGCAAGTTGAGACTTGACTCTTGAGAGTGACAGGGTCCTGAAACAGGGCAGCGAGATGGCAGTGACGGGGTAGTAAGATGGCAATAGAAGCAAAATGGCAGCAATTGGTATACTCCACTCCACCTTACTCCTAGCAAAATTGTGTTTTTCTCCAACTCTTATTGACAAATTTGGGGTTGCTTTTACTCCTGTTTGGAAATTTACCCTTTACTTTAGTGTTATTCAAAATTTGAAAAATGCAAACATGTGGATCTCCACATTTGGGGAACTCATTTTTGGTTGGAGAAATGGAAAACTCAATACTGCAGTAAAACACAAATCAACTTCTTTCCTTTAATGTGTATAGGTTCACACTTCTAGTCTTTGTTCATTTCTTCCAAGTGTCCTCTGCTAAATACTTATGAGTACAATCCTTCCAATATACGAGGCCGCCTTGTCTTCAAATGGCTTGAAGGTAGCTTCTCAAAATCTAGACCAAGGTTCTTTTAATTTAACTTTATTGACTTTTTTAAGTAAACCTGCAAGTCTAGGGGATCAAATGGGTAGATCTATTTGTTCATTTGAATGACTCATCTGGAATATTATTGATATGGCTTTCAGATTTGGGATCTGTCCGATCAACTTATTTCTCCACTTCTCTTGCTCTTATATGTAAGATTGTAGATCGATCTCGTTGGTTTTCAAGCTGTCTGATCTGTTTCTGTAACTGCTTCTTGTGAAAGCCATACTCCTTTACAAAATTCTTATAATCAATTCTTACAAGAAAGCCACGTCCTCTAAACCCGCATACAGCAAAAAATAGAAATTAAAAAACAAATGAGTTGAAAAGGGTGTGAAGGATCTCTAAAACCACATAACAAAAAAAAGGAGTTAAGAAAGAAAAATCAGTCTGCACTAGAAAAAAGCAGTTAACAAAATTAAAGCATTCAATTTTTGGGGTAGGAAAAGGCATGCACAGACTTCCAAGTGTTCTTCTACTGCTTTCTAAGAGTTGAATGTGCTGAAAGATTCAAGATCAGTAAATGAAGAGGCATCTGATGTTTAGAGGTCTTCAGGTATTATGCCAAGGTCTTCAGGTATTATACCAAGGGGCCACTCATCATACATGTTTAGGGTGTTTCCAAATTCAACACGAACCGTACACATCTGTGTGAAGCATCTGATGCGAGCACTTGGCCGATACGACCGTTCAACCAGAAACTTTACAAAAATCAATCTGTTACCCTTATTTTGTGATATGGTTATTGGTTAATCATTATTTATTTTTTTCAATTTTTGGGTTTAATGGTACAGAATCAGAAATATATAGGTGCTATTGATGATACTCACATCACAGCTTGAGCGACCGCCTCCTAATAAAATACATTCCGCAGTAGAAAGACAGTGGTGACAAAATGTCATGGCAGCTTGTACTCATGACTTGATGTTTAGGTATGTATATGCAGGTTGGGAGGGAGCATCCAATGACTTTTGAGTGTTCTTAGATGCAACTTCAAGAAACAAAAAATGGGTTTCCATTGCCGCCGAACAGTATGAGTTAGTAGTTTGTACTAGTTAATGTTTGCTAATAACTTTTTAAATGTCATTGAACTATAGATACTCCATGAACATGCTATAGGTTATAATTATCTTGTTGATGCTGGGTATCAAAATGTTCCAAAGTTTTTACAACCATACCAAGGAGAGACCTATCACCTAACGTGGAGACACTTACGGCTTACGACCAGAAGAATTCCGTGAGATAGGATGTCTATGTAGTAATTATGTTTTATTTAAATATCAACATCAGACATCAAGTAATGTGATAGAGAAAGGTGCTTCGAGGTGTTAAAGGAAAGATTTGACCACCCTTAGTTCTGATAATTTGATTCACACTGCTTGTTGTGCATTAGATACTTATACTTGCACTGAAGATGAAGGACTGATTTTTAATGAAGTATGAGCAAAAAGATTGATATTTGAGAGTAGCACAGGAAATATAATGCAAGTACGATGGAAAATGAAGTGACACAATTTGATGTGTCCTCAAAAACAACCAATGCATGAGTCTGATGAAGTGTTGTGAATAGAATTTGGCTAATTATGATGCTTTATGTGTCAAAATAGCATTTGGTTTATGTATTAGCTTTAAAATCAAAATACTTTATGAAAAAATTAACTCAATTATCTAACTTTGCTCATGGAATATGATGAAATAAAGTAAAATGGCTCACTAAACTGTCTACGCTTCTTCTTTATAAAGCGGCAATCAGTCCATGCAATTTTCGACGTGATTTTCACTACGGGCCATCCAGAAACAGTCTCTCTATACAGGGGTAAGGTTGCGTACATCCAATCCCTCTTACCCCACTGTAGGTGGAAGCCTTTGCGGCACTGGGGTGATGATGATGATGATCTAACTTTGCTCATAGATTGTCATTTATGTATTTGTGTTATTTCAAATGTATCCAATTAGGATTTATACTTTTCTTTTACATTTAATATAGGTATTTTAATTTTAATATGTGTGGCTGGGTAATATTAATCAGATTTGTTTCACCTTCGATACTATTAGATCTCGATCCCCCAAACAGTGTATTCAGAATCAAACAAATTAATATTATCTTTTATTTTTAGATTGTTATTTAAAATGTAGAAAGTTGGAGATATATAAGAAATATGTGAACATATTTTATTATTTTGAAAACAGAGAAAATGGAAAACATGTGTTCTGATTTGGGATAGGAAAACTGGAAAACTAAAAACAGGGAAACAGAAAATAGAAAAGTGGAGATATAGTTAAAGAGGCCCTGTATATCCTTGAGATAAAACACCAAGAGCCATAATAACAAACCATAGATTATGGCAGAAAATATATTTTTTAAATATGGTAAAGCCACACCATTTTCCAAATGCTTTCATGTTCATAGGGAAAAGCGTAAAGTCAAAAGGTTTCGAATAGAAACTAGATTTTTGTCGGCTATAGTAACGGACTAACGGGCAAACTGTTTCCCCTTCTTTTGTCGATTTCACCCAAAATCTAAAACTAACTCTTATAAAACAAAATCAGGAATGGAAACACAAAACCAACTTTCCTCTTCTCTGTTCCACCACCAACAAAAATTACTACTTTCAGAAGTACAAGTCTTCAAACAACTAAAACTTCACGATTCCGAGATTTTTCTTTAAATTTTTACATATTTTTTTTGTAGAAAAAATGAAGCATTAGTGGATAGTGGATAATAGATAGCAATTAAATAATGCATGTTTTTATTAAGAGTTAAGAAACACGGAAACTCTCTGAAGCTCACGTTTCATTGTTTTGGAAATTCATGAGCATTTCAAGAGACCAGAAAACTCAAATTCCTGTAATTGTGCCGTTTCTGCAATTAAAAATATTTATTAAAAAAACTTGTTTGATTGTTCCCCAATTTCCAAAACATTTGTTTCAGAAACTTCACTTTTCTGGTTTTTCCCCTTTTAATGGGATTTCTTGATAAATTAACTTCGTAGTATTTGTTTATGGAATCTATAAATGGAGTTGTGTATGGGATCTTTCCACAGTAACATGTTTTTTTGGTTTTTAATTCACATTATGCTGATAAGCCTGATAGAGATGCATCACATTTTGTCAGAGCCGGCTTTGGGGGCAGTTGGCCCAGGAAACTGCCTTGGGCCTCACATGCCAAGGGGGCCTCCAAAAACATTATTAGTACTATTATAATGCATAATTATTCAATAATTGGAAATTAGAATAGGAAAATATCGTTTAATCTTGGTCCACGCATCTGACAGCAGCGCAATTGATGAGGAACGAGATTATCGATAACAGGAAGGGCTCCGCTTCTTGTCCTCTGCTGACGGCCGGCGAGTCAACAACTTCACCGGATTATTACGGCCTTAGACCGGTTACTACTGACCACGAGTCACCCAGTGGTCCAAGGACTCCCAGCCCACCCTTGTCCGTCAAATGAATGCCTCACCGAGTCACCGCCCGTTGCCGCCCAACGATCTGGATGAGACTCCTATTTTTCTCAGTCTCTGATTTCTCTAATAATCTCCTTCTCTTAGTATCTTGCATTGTATTACTTTATCTCTTTCTCTGAATCGGTGGATTCACTTTTGTTTGTAGAATTTAGTCACTAAAATATGGAGTACTACATAACTAGAATAGTAGATGTCTAGATAAAGTCATAAGGATTTTGACTTTTTAGTATTTGAGTTAAATTTCTAAATGCCTATATGGCTATATGCCAAAATAGTAAACACTCCATATTAAATACAAGGGTGTTAGCGTGATTGCACTGAGCTAGTGTCTACTATAGTCTATAGGTGTGAAGTTAAATACTTAATATGTTAAACTTATGACTAATAATTAAAACTTTGAATATTATTGGGTTAATATTGCTATATTGGTACTGTATGGGTTAGATTAGATGATATATATAGGTGTGAAATAATTAATTTGATGGTATTGGTATTACTAAATTAGTTATTTTCTTGATTTGTCATTGCATGTGTTTAGAAATGTTACTAAAATTTTAGTTTTTTTTGTTAATTGATTTGTTTGTGATTTTTGTATCATCTATAAATACGTAGGTATTGTCATGATGGACAAGCAAAGATTTAAGGCGGCATGTACAAAGAATAAGTTGAGAAAACTTGAATATGCTTTTATTCATATGGTTTTCTTATTCAATTTATCTCATTTTCAATATATTTGTGCATAGTAAATGTTTTTGTGTCTAGTGCGGATTTTGTATTTGATAGATACCCGGACAGTGGAGGCATCAGGCAAGAGAACTGATAATAATAATCATGATAATATCAAATACTTTGAGAAAGTATATAGAAGAAGGGGGGCCAGGAATTGTAACTAACTAGATGAGATGGACATCTCATGCTAGGGGGAACTATTAATAGAAACAGAAAGGAGAGAGAAGGTAGGCAGATATTCAATTAGTTGATTGTTGGGAGAGGGAGGCACTCTCGTATCTGTCTCATTGTTCCTTTTGTATTTTCTGTTTCCGCCATTACTATTGTTTCAAGGAATTCTGATACTTCATCAGACTTCATCATCTATTGTCTATTGAAAATAAGATTACTGATTTTACCCTTAAAAAAATACTATTGATTTCCACCTGATTGTTTGAGTATCTATCAGTATTTGATTATGTTCTAATATGTCAACAACTTTCTATTTTAAAACATGAAGACTACTTTTATCTTTAACTACTGAGCAAAGCTATATGAAAAAAAAAATGCATATATGTATATATGTGAGAGAAAATATAGACACATAAATGTATAAACAATATGTTCCCTTCCATTGTATTAATAAAATGTCGGAAAAGTATTTATATTCATAGAACATACATCCCAAATTTTTATACTCGCGTGTTTACCCCAAGGAAATATGTATCTATCCCCTATACTTACATTTTTTGGCTACTAACATGTTTAGCAGCCAAAGAAGATTACATATTAGTACGTACATTTTTATATGTGCATAAAAATATTTATAAACATACATCCCTATATTTTATATTTACACAGTTATCCCACAGCTTGTATCATATACTCTGTATATTTTATAAAGTCTTTCCCATATTTCATGGTTCTCGTTCCTTGTTCTGCGTTTTAATGCTAATTAGATCACCATAATTAAATCTAGTAAGTTGTCATTGAAACCATGGGGGGGGGGGGGGGGGGATATTGTACCTTGGAAGCTGTCGCTAGCAGGCATTTCTGTTAGACGTTTTGCTATGGGAATTGGCCAAGGAAAGAGCAGGGAGGAAATCGGATCACCTTCCCTTGTGTCCTCAACTTTCCAAGAGCATTAGGCCAATGTCATTTTCCTGTTGTCCTTGAGATGGCATAAAAATATTACAAAAAGAACGATTATTTATTTCTAGACTTAACTTACTCAAAATTTTATTATGAACGTCTATATTTGTAGCAAGTCTAGTTTCAGTGGAAATCATTAAATGGCTAGCGTTAAGTCGTTAACCACTGGCATAGATATACATGTGCAGACCAACTTGGTCACAATGCCACCATAACTAAAAACCGGGGATAATTTTGCCTTCTCCTTTCTTCAAATATATGCTAACTACAGAAGTTATAAAATATACTCCATCCGTCACAAATTAAACTTTGTTTTCACATGGCATGCTTGTTAAAAAGGTGACACTATGTTGTAGAGATTTGTTTAGATAAAAAGAATTAAGCCACAAAAATCTTTCTGTAGGAGGAAACATAAAGATTAAATTGGGAAGGAGGTACTATTTAGTACCCCCTCCGTCCCAACTTAAGCTTCTCACTTACCTCTTTTGAATGTCTTATGTAAAGCTTCTCATTTCCATTTTAGGAAATAATTAACACTCTTAAATGAAAAAATAATTATCGAATATTAAAATCACATTTATCATCAATGATCTCAAAACTATTTCTCAAAATATACTTGAATTGCCTTATTTAATGATTTTCTAAATAAATGTGTCATCTTTCGACGAGAAGCTTATTTTTTGAGAAGCGGGGACAAGTGGCATTCACAATTGAGATTCAAACCTTTTCCTAAAAGAGATATACTCCATATTGAATTCAAGCATAGCCATTGCATTGCATTTCTCAAGCAACACACAAGAGAACACACATTTGTACCCACACAAGTTTTTCTCATATTTTTATATTTAAATTGCAATATTTAGAAATTAACATTGATTTTTTTTCTTTTAATATTAGTACATAGTATTTCGAAATAAATACCGAGTACATATGTTTTTACTCAATCTAATTATTTTGCAAGCAAGTCTTTGCTCATTCTGTAAAGAGAAATACTGGGTATACTCCTGTATTAGAGAGTATCCAAAACTATGTACTTAATTGGTGGAAAACATCGTGGGCCCTTCTATTAAATTGCTCAATTAAGAATACCCACTAACTTTACACCAAACAGGTAGAGAGACACTCTCCCAAAAGAACTGTTTATAGCATTTCTGTAACTAAAATTGTGAAGAAGAGGAATAAAGATTTAAGATGGATACAAATAGCGATTAATACCTTACCAGAGTGGTAATTGGTAGACGTGGAAGCTTCATATTTGGATCCTTGGCATTGTTAGACAAATGCTGAGGGTGTCAAGGTGCTTGGTGATTTTAGGAAGAAGAAAATGCAATTGGGGGATAACTGGTTTTCTAGAGAAGATTAAATTTTTAAATTCTTCCGAGATGGAGAAAAATGGGGTGTCTTATTTAGCAAGCTCATTTATAAAAGCAGAAGTGCTTAGTGTGTATAATGTTCACCATAATCCAGATAAAATAAAAACTAAAAATGGAATAATTCTAGATCTTTCATCATATAAAAATGGGTGGATTAGAACAGTATGAGATTAAAAATAAGGTAGCATAATAATGAATATGTGGACCTTTAATGTGCAGCGGTTAATTATAAAAAGTGTATCATTGTATACACAAGAATGCACCTCTACGTATTTACAGAGCAACCAACACACTTTTGAGCCATGCACATTCATTTTGCACAAAGGTACGCCCTTTTCATGTATAGAAGCACGCTCTTAAATATACAACGATACACCTTTTACCATTAAGCGATATATGTCAAACTTTGACATATTAACTAAAACGCCTCCGCATTTCAATTAAAGGTTTTAATATTTACAACTACGCCACCACATTTTTTCTTAGAGGATTGATCTCATCCCACCATTTTTTTTAGATCAATGAACATTTTTTGTTCTCAATTTCCAATTTTCATCTAACATGCACATCTTACGATTCTTATCATACCTTGTGCAGTGAAGTATTGCAGTTTGCCCTGCAAGTTTTTCAGCAAAGATGGATTGAAAATGAGCAAAGATGGATTGTAAATTTTACTAAAATTTAGTCAAACATTTCACAAACAACAGATCTCATTATTAATATTGTGTAATTAGATATAGTTTAAGTTAAAATATACAAGTATCTATAAAAAGAAGTTCCATTTACAGTCCACTTCAATTGTTTTCGGTAAAAATACAGTCCACCCCTTTTTCCTTAAATTTGTGAAATTTTCATTTTCCATATTTTTTCAAAAGACGATTTTACATAAAGTAAGTTTAAAACTTCAGCTAAACTGGCATAATTCAGCAAAAAGATGAATCAGCAAACTAGCACTTAAGATAAATGAGCACTTTAGCCATTCTGCAAACAGCTCTGACTTCTGAGCATTATAATTACATAAAGATGCACCATCAATAACTCCGGCAAGTCGACAAGTTCAGAAGTCTAAAAGGAGAGAACAGTTTCAAGAAAGTATGTGGCGTCTGACCTGGCTGGGTAGTGCGGCGGTGGCGGACAGACGCAGAGGAAGCCGGCCAGGGCGCGGTCGCGGTAGTAGCGGTGGCCGGTGTGTGGGTCACAAAGTTGCAGCCTTGCCGCTCGTTTCGCTCGTCTTTGTGAGAACCGATGCGGAAGATATGATCTGGGATTTTGTGCTGACTTTTTATTAATTGTGGGGTGAAGAATGTACTACATATACAAATCGAATGAACCACTTCTTTTACCAAACAAGAATACTTCTCTGTCTTATAATTTTGTCTGAACTTTTTTTTTGGATATTCTATTAATTTTATCACTTTCTCAATTTAGTAAGGAGTTTGTGTTTCCGGTTAATTCTGTTTCTTCTATAGTTCAACTACACAGTTTTTACTTGATTAATCATCCTGTCGATCAAACTTGGCAAAATTATTAGAGATAGGGAAGTACAAAAAAAGGATTAATAGATTGTTTTGGGTAGACGAAAAATCAAAATTTTGAAGATAATTCAGGAAGGGAAGGGAAGTAGTGTATAATATGAGGTATATGCAAATAAATTTATTCAATACGGTATGAAATGGATAGAAAGAATGATTTTTTTTTTGGATGAAAGCCGATAATTAATTCAACAAGTCGTTCGCCAACTGGCTTACAATGCAATCGGGCGGATGATCAAAATTAACTACCAGACCAGACATAGAAACAGCCACTTTTGCCATAGCATGAGCCGCTTGATTCGCTGATCTTCTGCACCAATTGACATTAAGGCCCTTTTGTGTGGATAGAAAGAATGATTATGTACGAAAAATCATTCAGAGTACTGGATGGGGATGTCCGGATGTAGTATTTCAATTTGATTCAATTCCATTTTGATATGTTTGGATCAATTTTGATTTATTTTATACAAAGTTTTAAAATATATTAAGATTTCTCTAATGAAGTGGACATTGCCGTTACCTGGAGGAATGGTTTTTGCAGGTTGGATTCAACGGATTTTCGAATCTGGGAAGGAGGAGTTTTGCTGTGATTTTATCATGCTGGTTTGGGGAATTTGGAAAGCTAGAAACGACATGTTGTGGAAGAATATTTCTTCCTCTCCTGGGCAGATTGTTGCTGCTGCATTTATTTTCAAAGATGCATGGCGCCGAGCTCAAGGTTTGAACAAGCCTGGCAGCAGGATTCAATGCTTGGAAAATTGGATAAAGCCAACTGCAGGTCGGTTTAAGGTCAACACAGATGCAGCGATTAAGAAGGGGACGGGAGTTGTCGGGTTAGGGTGGGTTGTGAGAGATTGGGAGGGTTCTTTCATGGCTGCTGGTGCAATTTGCTGGACTGGAGATTACTTTCCCCACGAGGCAGAGGCTTTAGCCATGCGGGAAGCAATTAATTGGATCAAATGTGAAGGGTGGGAAGAACTCGAGGCTGAATCTGATGCGGCTCAACTCGTTACATCCATACGGGAAGGGCCTGATGATTCGTCTTTTGGCTTGATTGTTGGCGATATTATAGAGCTGTCAACTAGTTTTACTAGTATTAGTTTTGCTCACGTGAGGCGGTCAGCGAATAGGGTAGCCCATGAGTTAGCTAGGGTAGCCTGTTCTTTGTCTGGTTGCCATGTTTGGAAAAATTCTCCTCCTTCATGTATCTTGTCTTCTTTGAACTTTGATTTGATAAATAATAGCTAGTTGAGTTTTCATCAAAAAATATATTAAGATTTTATTGAATATTCTAGTTTGATTTGAATGTATTTGGTGTTTTATAGTTTGCGATTTAATATATTGTCAAATTTAAACCATATATATATATACTCCGTACATAATAACTATACAAATTTTTAGTGTTCTATGAATAGTATTTCGGTCAACGGTCAAACAAACATTTGAAACGCTCCCTAAAAAAATACTCCCTCCGTCCCTAATTTATCTTCCAAATAGGTTTGGCACACAGTTTAAGATAGTGGGTATTGTGTGGTGGAGAGTTGTGCAGAGGAGCGAGAAATGTGTAAGAATTATTGTGAACCACAAATTCTTTGCCAAAAAAGGAAAGTGAAAGTTTTGATTGGGACGGACGAAAAAGGAAAGTTGGAAGTTTATTTAGGGACGGAGGGAGTAAGTAGTTTCTTCTTTCATTTTTCACTCATTAAAGATTCTTCAATCATTTTCTCCGTTCCAATTTCCTTCTCCACTTTCTCATTTCCTTCTCCACTGATCTCTTCGTTCATATCTAAAATCATCGTAACCTCTCCTCGCCTGTTCCCTGTTCCTATAGTCGTTTGTCTCCGATCCATTTCTCCACAAGCTATCTACTCATTGTTTTCCATTCGCAAATCATGTCGCTTTAGTTTTTGGCCACCTTATTCCATCACCCGCCATCAAAAAAAGAGGAGTCAGGCAAAGATAAAGACCACCAAAAGAAACAATCAAGATGAATCACGATTAGGCTCAAATAGTACCTTTAGTTCTGCAATGTAGACCTCCATTCCAAGTCAGAATTAGGGTTTTGCATATGGCGTTTCCCACTTTCCCATCGATGCCCAACGATTCCAGCAAAAACAGGCTTGGTTCCACTTTAGCCATTCTAATCAATCATTCCGATGATATAGTTGAAATTGTGTACATACTTTGATATTTTCAATCAATTCTTAATTGCTAATAATTAAACAGGCTTCTTATTAAATTTATCAATTTTAATCAACCGTAGAAAATGAGGGGAAAACCTGGATTGGTTTCAATTTATCAATTTTTATCAACCGGTCTATGGTATAGTAGAGATATTCTATTAACTATTAAAATGCTTTCAAAAGTCTATGAAAGTATGTACACAACAATCTTGGGAGCCCTATGATATATATATATATATATATATATATATATATATATATATATATATATATACTTCTACTTACTTAATAATAAAGTAAAACCTTCTAATTGAAATTGAATTTTCAATTAATTACTATTAAGTCCAATTAGTGAATAGTCATTAATTGCAATTAAGTCCTAAATTCATAGTATTTACTCAATTGATTACTATTGAGTCCAAATAATGAATATGTGCGGTGTTATTGAGTCCAACCTTCTAATGACAATTGATTACTCATAGTATTTAAACATAACAATGCGATGTTTGATATGTGCGGTGTTACATTAAAATGTCAATTTTTAATATATTCTATTTAATTTTGCAACACCACACACACATATTCTATTTAATCAAATTACTATTTACAATCAACTAAATTTTATTTGAAGTAAAATGATTAATTATTTATATATTCTATAAAATATATTACGTATATCTTACATACAAAGTATTAAAACATTCACAACCTCCGCCCGGGGCAATGCCCAGGTAAAACACTAGTTATATGACTATTATATGATACTACCTCTATCCATAAAAAATTATAATGACTTTTCTTGGTCAATGATGACAAATTATAGACAATGATATTCATTATATATTTGTATACTATGTATAATTTATAAATTTGAAACTTTTATGAAAATATTTTGAATAGGGACATTTTGATATAAATTTCATATTCTAAATAATTTCATATTAAAAATATAATTAGTCAGAATTAATTGTCATTAACAAAGAAAAGTCCATTGGCAAACTTTTTGGGACAGTGATTATGATATAAGTATATAATTTAATTGACTGGCATCATTTTTTATTTGAGAAGGAACAGAATGTAAACATTATTAATTTGATATGATCCCACAAGGGATCAGAGTGGGATCATTTATGCTATGATTTAGTTTTAGATGGCCAACATAATCCAAAACCTAGGTGCCGTTTGGTAACACCTTTTTTCGGCTTATCAGGCTTATCAGCCAACTTTTCCACCAAACACGTAATTTTTGCTTTAGCGCGTTGAATTGTGTAATAAGCAGAAAAAGTAAGGTTGAAGTTACTTTTCTGGCTGTATTGGCTGAAGTTACTGTAGATGACCATTTTAGCTATTTTTACATATAATTTTTTCTTTATTTTATTAATAAAATATATTTTAAAAATATTTTTTTCTTAAATCAGCAGAATCAGCCAATGCAGCCACTCCAGCCAGAACTTCAGAAATTTCAGCAGAATCAGCCAAACCAGCCGATTTTCCTTCTACCAAACGGGCTCCTAATGAAGTAAGGGGTTATATCCATGTTGCAATTAAGAAGACCCCTCATTGGATTCTTTTATTTCCCCGCATGTTGTATATACATCAATTAGTTTCATGTGGTAGCTAGGTGAAGGGACTCGAAGTCACATACTTTGTTGGGTAGAGAGATCGCATAGGGTAGAGAGGTTGTTCTTGATGAGACCTTCCCAAGTAGGGGTGAGTTCGGTTCAAACGGTTCAGTTTTCACCTAAAATCAAATGTCGAATCAAAGTAAAAATTTCGGTTCGGTTCGGTTTTATGTTGAAAAATTTGGAACCATGGTTTGTTCGGTTTCGGTTTTTTCGGTGTTTACCAAAGTATTTTTGTTAATTAGAAAAGTAGTAATTGGAAAACAAAACAAAAAATAAGCCACATCAAACTATTATTAATAGTAATACAATACAAACATATACTTAAAAAAGAGAGAAGAAACAAATGCACTTCCAAACAATGAATTAGAAAGTAAGTGTATACCAATTTAAACACTTTATAAATTAATTAAACGCATGCGTTTATTCGTGAATTATAGTTTATTTGAAAGATAAATTTTACTAGTAAATAATTTATCCTACTTTCTTTTTATACAAAGATATTCGGCTATCTTGTTTAAAGTGTAGTTTATATTAATACATATTTGTTCAATATATAAATTATGTGATAGCAAGCATACATAACATATAATATATCAACATGTTAGTAAATTACAATTAAATTACAATTTAAAATATCAACATATTAGTATTTAAAATAAGCCACATCAAACTATTATTAATAGTAATACAATACAAACATATACTTAAAAAAGAGAGAAGAAACAAATGCACTTCCAAACAATGAATTAGAAAGTAAGTGTATACCAATTTAAACACTTTATAAATTAATTAAACGCATGCGTTTATTCGTGAATTATAGTTTATTTGAAAGATAAATTTTACTAGTAAATAATTTATCCTACTTTCTTTTTATACAAAGATATTCGGCTATCTTGTTTAAAGTGTAGTTTATATTAATACATATTTGTTCAATATATAAATTATGTGATAGCAAGCATACATAACATATAATATATCAACATGTTAGTAAATTACAATTAAATTACAATTTAAAATATCAACATATTAGTATTTATAACAATAGATTTAAGTGTATGTACAAGTATTTCACTTAATTAAGCCATAAATATTAAATGTCAATATCTTGCAAATCATAATAAATCTAGTATTAAACATTGATTTTCTAGAATTAAGAATTAAGAACTAAACAAAATATTATACTTGATGATTAGTAAATAAAATAACAAGTTTAACAAAGTTTGGTTTATTCGGTTCGGTTCGGTTTTGAGATGTGAAAACCGAAATCGAAACCAAACAACTAGGGTTCGGTTGTTTGAGTTTGCTTTCGGTTTTCTTGCGGTTCGGTTGTTTTGGTTGCGGTTTGGTTTTTTTCGATTCGGTTTTCGGTTTCCCTGACCCACCCCTATTCCCAAGTACTGAAATGCAGTATGAACACAACGGGAAGAAAGCTAATATACAATGTAATCAAGTCGAAAAGTAAGCAAACGGGACTCTTGGACCCTGAAAGAAATACATCATGGCATCCAAGTCTCGGGATGTTTTCTTTTGGACTGAAATTTTATAATCTGGTATGGTCTGTTTAAGTCTGATCTGAACTGGTCTGGTAAATGTGTGGTCTCTTTGTATTTTATAATTGTCCAGGTTTGGTATGGTCTGTTTAAGTCTGATCCGAACAGGTCTGGTAAATGTCTGTTCTCTTTTATAACTGTCCAAATCTGGTATAGTCTGTTTAAGTCTGGTCCGATCTATTTAAGTCTGACCTGGTTTGAGACTGAAACCAGTCCAAAAGAAAACATTATCACTCATCCGCTAGCACTTTTATCAGCTATCACAAATATGCTCTTGATATTAAGGATGTTTTTACTTGAACTGTAATTTGCTGATCTGACATATTTAAGTCTGATCTGGTCTGGTCTGGTCTGTTTAAGTCTGGTCTGGTCTGAATTAGTCTGGTAAACGTCTGGTCTCTGTGTTTTTATTACTACGAAAGTCAAGTCTGGTTTGGTTTAAGCCTAGTTTGGTTTGAGACTGAAAATAGTCCAATTAAAAGCATCCTAGGTGAAAACTGATCTCGTGTAAAAACCACAAGCTCGCCCTAATTGCATGTTTTTTAGTACACATTTTAACATATTGTCCACACTCGACGCTATACTAGCAGCAGCTATGTCACCTTCCAGCACACCAGTCTCATCTAGTGGCACACCAAATATCTCGCTCTTAGTTAAAGCAGAGTATCCATCTATGGCACAACTATTCCCGGATAACTTTGACTCTTGTTAAGTGAGCTCCACCTGCACATTTACATTGTGATGATCAATAAATACAACCAGTACGTAAGAAGAGGACTTGAAGTTTTGTTAACATGGCATATCGTTCTCACGAGAGAATTCCCTAAATAGGAGTAAAAA